ATATCGTAAAGTTATATTCAGAAAGAATAAACCAGTTTTATTAAGTAAGGACTTGTGTTGCTAAAGTTTTATCTGAACGAAGTTACGAAAAATCAATTAACGAACGGAGACGTCACAACGGCTATCGATGCTTGGTAATTGTTATGGCTGCTCCATTAATTTTTTTTTCTGAATTTTATTTTATTCTTTATGTTAAATAACTTGAATACTTTTCCATAAAAGTTGAAGGTTATTGACCAAGTTTCATATCTTGTTACAGAAACTATTTATTTGTTTGTTTGTGGTTTAGCACAATGAGGCTATGAAATATGTTAAATGTATGTAGAAATGATGATTGGTTTCAAGACTTTCTAAATCGGAATAAGCATAATAAAGTATCTTTGATGCATTAATTTGTTAGTTTACTGAAAGTAGTAGTGCATATTTTTATTAGCATGTTTTACTTATGTAATCAAAAATTTTAATGAATGTTTCTTGTATAATCCCAAACTACACTAACTATCCACCCATATTCTGTATATTTGGAACTCAATGTATTGAATTTGAAGTTGTACCCAATAGAATAATAATGTTTATAGTTACCTATAAAATGTGATATTTGGACATACGTAGTTCACGGTGAAGTGTTATAATTAGGGCTTCTGAGTTTCGATCTTAACCTATAAGCTCAGATGAAAACATCTTCAATATAAAATAATAATAATAATTAAATCGGTACGTATCCACTAAATACGATATATTAAATATTGTCTATTGTCCGCAATTTAAAAAAAAAAAATTAACATACCTATTTCAGGCCATGTCCATTTCATGGGGTTATATTAACAAGAATATTTGCACTGAGCTTCGAACTATTAGTCATGTGCTCACAATACAGTTCCACTTAGCACTCTTACGCACACACACACACACACAAATAATCTTATTTTGACCCATAAAACCTTTTAAAAATAAAGCTAAGTTTGTGTCTAGGAATCAGATAGCCTAGCACTATTTGGCATGTAAGTATCCTATTTATGATGTCAAGAAGGAAAAGCTACTTAGGGCTAGGTTTATCATGTATTATGTAGCTCTTTAATTCATTCACTCATCAGTTCATTTTTATTTATATTGACTTATAATATTGAAGCGAGATATCTAGGAGTCTCCGAATCTGTCTTACAGAATTGGCATGTTTGAGTAGTTTTGAAGAAATGTTGAACGATGGATCCGGTATGCTTTTGTTGAAATATAGTTTTTGTTACATTGATCCATGCTGTGCAAGCATACTCTACGAGTGGTCTTATGTATGATTTGTACATTTTAAATATGTTTTCTGGTGAAGCTCTTTGGCTGTTGCCCGCAATGCGCTTAAGATAACTCGCTCTTTTCAATATTCTGGTTTTAATGCTGTTAATGTGGATGGTGCAGTATTCTATCAGTTAGTGTATTTAATTATACTTCTGTTGACGTGAATATGAGTTATAATTAGAGGTGGCGCTAGCCTCTTTTGGGTGACACATTTACTAATAGGTTTTCGATTACTGATGGCATTTCGGAGAGATGCTGTTGATGAGGTTTAACATTGAATAACAGTGATGTTGTAAATCTAGTTTGTTGATGATGGCGTAGAAACTAGATGTTTAATGGGCGATTTAATTAAAAGAGCCTCTGATTTAATACTTATAGTTAAAATGTAAAAAGGTATATAGCCGTATACCTAGTAATAATAATAATGTATACATTTCTTTCCTGTGTTACAAAAGCAGTATCTGTAAATAGTTTGCGTGTAATATTCTTCCACTAGTAGTAGTACATGAAATTCCCTTAGACTATTATTTATAACGTTGAGTCATAGCATGCTAAAATTAAAAATATAAGGTTATACATGTCAAAGTCACATGAGCTCAGATAACCACAAGGCCTAATCAGAAGAACACGGTATATTTACAGGAACTATTTATATAAAGGAACTTCCTTGTTTAATAGGTTAATATCATGTTGAACAGCCAATCAAAGTTTGCTTTCATAAACAGGGTAAATGGTTTGACAGTTCTCCCGGGAACAGAAATGTGGCGTACACTAAGTTCTAATGACGAAAGAAACTAAAATAAAAAAAATATATATAATGATTTAAGTAATTGAAACAGTTCTTGACAATACTATCACTTAGTTTCACTTTATAAGTGCAAAACTAGTGAACCCAAATGATTGCACTTGAAATTTTGCCCCACAGGTATCCACAAAGCCTTGAGAGAAGAATCCAGATACACACTGGTCAACATTTGTGTAGAAGGATGTTTTCATACTGTAAGTATACCCCTTTGCAGAAGCTACATTAAGAAATTTTCAGAGCCACAAACCATAGGTTAAAATGTGTATTGCATTGTATCATACTTCTGGAAGGCACTGAACTTTATTTTACATACTTATTTATTTTTTCTTTATTTGCTTTTTGGGATGCAAAAGTAAATTTCTATGCAAAATGAGAATGTTAGTATCTTTACTTTTACTCAGCCTTATTAAAATTGTACATTGTGTTATATTAGATATCCATGAAAGTTTTATTAACATTTTATTTAATTCAAATTCCAGCTGAACATTGAACTTTTAGAGCTATATGAAATTGTTTGAATTGCACATTAAACTAATTCCTGTCTCCATGTATGTATCATTGATGGTCCAGCATAGGGCATAGTTAGTGTATGCCCTCCCTCCCCCCTCACTAAAAAAAAACAAACAAAGGTTGTCTGGAATTGATCACTTAATCTCTAGTTGCACTGCTTATGTCTTGCCATTCTGAAATTCTTTGACCAGTTACTGTGTCATATGCACCTGACATATATGGCAGAAGGGTAGGTGCCCCCCCCCCCCATTTTTACAACTGGTGCACCTACACTTCTTTTTTGCCACTCCACTTTGCAATGAAGTTAGACAATCATACACTATATTTTTGTGTATTGTGTTGAGCCACACCAGTTGCTATTGTAACCATGTTTGGTTTCCTTGTTAGAATAATTCTGGTTCACTTGTAACATAATGTTAATGCTATTTGGAAACTTCTGCATTTTAACTCATAAATTATATAATATAATGGTAGTCTACCAAAGCAAACAGATTTAATAATTAATGTGAAAAATGTCATTTGTAGTATATATATAAGCACATAATAGCCTGCAATACATTTCTAACAAAAGCATAAACTGATACATGCAAGAATGTGATGTGTAGGTTCTATAACTTAGGCATCTGGCAGTTAGTTGTATGTTGAGAGAAATTTATGGGTTATTGTGGACTGTTTTCATTGAAGAACTTAATGGAATGAATATTTTATGTATTCTTTCAGATAAATATTTATAAGTACATGATCAATAAGCTGCAGACATATAACATAGTTGAGTTCTTGAAGATACTCAGGTTTTCAAAAACAAATATATATATGTGTATTTTTTAAAACACTTACAGCTGTAATTTTAATAAAGTTAAATTGTTTAAAAAATTAAATACAACTTTTTGAAGTTTTTAAATCTTTTTTCATTGCATGCAGGTAACCGTGACACAATATTCAAAGCATACCTTCTGGTAGCTATGTGTCTAAACCTTACATTCTACAACCTAATCACAGCCTATTCTCGACAAATAACTAAAGGTCCTCGGTACTTCACCACAACAGTTGTTTTCCTGGCAGAGCTTTTAAAACTTGCAGTATCTCTTATTATGCTACTATATTCATGTGAATGGCATGTGTGGAAACTGAAAATACTTCTAGAAACAGAAATGTTGCAGAAACCAATGGAATTTGCTAAATTAGTCATACCAGCTGGACTTTATGCTCTCCAGAACAACTTGGTTTACATTGCCCTGTCTAACCTCGATCCTGCTACATATCAGGTATGGATGACAACTATAATAACCTATATTAAAGTCTTTCAATCAACAAAAATAGAAATAAGATACACTTTCTATACTTTGTACAGTCTTGATTACACTATAAGTCAGATTAAAAAGAGATTAATAAACAGTATTTTAGATTTTATATAAAGAAGGCAGGAGAACTGGATGACATATGTTTATGATATTGAAAGCTCAAACATGACACCAGTTTAAGCAATGTTACTTTTCCAATAGGGTGGTAAGCCTATGGAATAATTTATCTTTTACAAAGGCTTTAGTTGTGATAGAAGCTGCAACTTTACAGGGACTTAACTGAGAATTGGATGAGTATTTTAGAGATCAGGATCTGACTTAAGAAAAGGGATTTCTAAATGTAGTTTGGAGTAGGGTGGTAGCAGAAAATAGTCCTTTGTTGTGTGTTTGAAATTAAATGAAATTTCTTTTCCAACACAGATTATATCACACAATGCAAAAATCAGAAAGAAAACTTATTTATATTGAATGTTGCTACACAATGGATAATGTTATATTTTTGGAAATATTATAAACTTTGCACCCTGTTACACATTAGAAATAATTCTCTTTTAAATGTGTGATTAAACTTGCATCATGCTATATATCTTGTAGAAATCCTATAAACAAATTTTATAGGGGTATAAATAGACCTATAGGACCTATTAAATGGCATAACAACTTGTAGCATTTTTTTTCTTCTGTTGTTTATAGTACTGTTATACAGAATGCTTAAGTGTTTGTATGTCTTACAGAAAATTTCAGCATTGCTCCTGTAGGACACACTGCCCTATAAGCTTTTCCTAGGAATGTTTTACAACAGTTTTACAGAAAAAAAAAATTATCACAATACCTGTATCATATCATAGAATGAATTGAAACACTAGGCTTATAGGCAGTTTTAGTCATGAAACTTTGACGTTTTGATAAGTTTCTAGAGGACTGCTTTAAGCTAGAAATATCACGTAAGATCATTTTATACTAAGTTGTATAATTTTCATCTATTCTATATAATGATCCTATTGAACTGAATTATTTTAGGCTCATTAAGAATATTTACAGAATCTTAGCCTGTACTTTACAACATATTATAGGATGCTTTTTAAACCTTTTAAAATCTTTTATAATTTTAGTTTTTCTTATACAGCTCTTACATAATTTTGTAGGACAATTGGTCTAAATTACAACTGTAAGATATAATGCAATCCTTTACATAAACTATAAGATCCTATTCAGTTATTTAGGATGCCTTACAGGACCTTACAGAACATTTTTGTAAGGGTAATTCACTTCTAAATAGCTGATTAAACTTAAAACGTAACCCATGCTACATGTCGTGAATAAATACGTCCTTTCAATAATCCTCATTAAACTTGGATATGTTACACTTTAGACAAGAAAACTATATTCTTTCTGTATTTTGGTATCTTGTTAAATGTAGACCTGTGCTATACTGCACACTTTGTTTTTTCTAGACATCTAATCAAACATAGATCATGTTTACATGGGTTTTGACATGACATATAATTTCACATTATAAATCTTGAAGACTTCTTATATACCAAACATAACACAATATTTAAGGACAACAAGGGAGGTTGGTCCATCTAGGCTATCCCATCCACTAAACTAAAACTATTAAAAAAAGAACAACCCTAAAAGTCAGCCCTTAAACTCACTTAAATTTACTGCCTCCACAAAGGTCAACCACCCTATTAGAAAAATATAACTGTCTTAGCTGGAGATGACTCCTACCTTGCCAAAATTGTTACTTGTGCCCACCAGCTCTACCGTTCTCACCATTAAATATGAAAAAAGATGATGCATCAACATTATCACTTCCCTTAACAATCTTAAACACCTCAATCAGAAAGAGAAAACAATTTCAGAGATCTTAACTTCTCCTTGTATGACAACCTTCCCATCTCAGATATGGCCATTTGAACCCTTTCCAACAATTCAATGTCCTTCCTAAGGTAAGAAGCTCAAGACTGAACACAATACTCCAAAGGTGGCCTAACAAATGACCTATACAATGCAATTATAACCTCATTAAACTTGTATTCAGTATCTCTGTAGTTACAGCCTAAAATCCTATTTGCCTTACCACTAGCAATAGCACAACGCTTGGATGGCTTAAGAGACTGATTAACCACTACACCAAGATCCCTTTCATTCATAACATTGTTAAGGTTATTCCCAACCAAATTTTACTTGTAATTCAAATAATGCTCACCCACATGCAATACCTTACATTTATTAAAATTCAAACTCATCTACCATTTATTTACTAAACTCACTAAATGATCTAAATCCCTTTGTATACCAGCAGCGTCATTCTCACAGCCAACAACACCCAGGACCTTAATATCATCAGCAAATTTAAGTAATTTATTGACCTTTCCTTCACGTATGTCATTGATGTAAATCAAAAAGAGCAAAGGTCCTGAGACTGAGCTCTGAGGTAACCCTTATCCCTCACACCTATAGAGAGAATTTTTTTTGGACAAGCCTTTTTTATGTGGCACTTTGTCATGTGCTTTCTGAAAATCCAGGTACACCAAATATACACCCTTACCCTCATATACATAAGCAATAACCTTTTCAAAGAATGTCAAAAGATTTGCAAGTCAAGATTTTCCCTTAGTGAAACCATGTTGACTATCCAATAAAATTCTAATCTTTGTTAATTGACTTTTCAAAGCATCTGTTATTAGAGTTTCCAAAACTTTTCTCACAAGTGATGTAAGACTAATAGGCCTATAATTACAAGAAGAATTTTTATTACCCCCCTTGAAAACGAGGAGTAACATTAGCCTAATTCCAATCCCCTGGCACCCGCCCACTATTCAAGAACTAACAAAAATAGTAGCAAGTGGCTCACATATCCAGTCCTTAACCTCGTTCAAAACCCTTGGGGAAATATTATGTGGCCCAGGAGCCTTATCATTTTTTAAACTTCCCAATTTTTACTTAACAAGCTCAGAATTAATGTGATCATCTTGTTACTTATTTTAGATTTTATGTTAAAGTTGTTTCCTGATTTTGAAAAAATAGTTTTATGCAACACAAAGTTACAAATTTCAGATGGTGCACATAATTCTGATACAATTGTTCTATTTTTTATAAGGTAATAGTAAAGTTTATTGATATGCATTTCTCTGGTTTAATGCACAGGATTATTAATAATTATGTGCTTATTCAAATAAAATGCATATATTAATTTGAGCTGAAAATATCCAAACCATCTTACAGTAGTTTCCTGTTACAGATTTTCAGTAAAAGTTTTGATGATTAAATATCTATTCTTTTGTTTGTTTATGTTTCCAATTCACTAAACATGACATTATACAGAGATTTGTTAACAATTATATCAAAGTATAAAATTACATATTTGTATATAGGTAACAAAAAAAGTCTGTAAAAAATATTGTAATTCTCTTATTCCAGGTTACCAGTAATTTAAAACTGGTTACAACAGTCATTTTTCATGCGCATTATTCTTCATCGACAATTCAAATACTTCCAGTGGACTGCAATACTTATGTTGTTTGTTGGCATTGTCTTGGTTCAGATTCATGCAGAGATGTTTTCAGTTTCAAACAGTGGACATTACCTGTGGGGCTTGACGTCCATCCTAGTTATTGCTGTCTGTGCCGGGTTTGCTGGTATGAATTATAATGTATTTTGCTTGTGTTAGTAAAGTGACAAGCACTATATATTTATACCATGATTTGAGTAACTACTAAACCTCGGATATAGAAGCATAATGATTTATGTAACTACTGTTTATAAATATTAAGCTAAATTCTGTAATAGTCAGGGCTGGCATACAAGTAAAATACTGAAAAACCAAAGAAATAGAAATGGCTTCTAGAAATATGCTTTAATTACATTAAGGAAACTATAAAAGGAATGCTATGTAAAAATGTAAAAATAGAATAGTGTTTAAAAATAACATTTTTTTATGATTCACATAGAGAACGTATTTTCTCAAATATGTTGACATTGGTTACTTTTCTCTAATCAGAAGCTTTTGGGAAGCATAGCAATGTTCTGAGGATTATTTTGAAATTATTACCCAAAGCTGTTATTATATACATGGTCAGTTAACCAACAGAAACATTTTATATTATATTAATGACCTCTTGTTTTGCAAGTACAGTAGGCAAAGGACTTGTAAATATATATGATTGATTTTATGCATAGTTTTATGAGCACAGCTGTACATCATGGATTTATTTCACAATTGTAGTAAATTTGGTAACAGTGTTTGATCCATAGGGTTAACTTTTGCTTGATGTTTATGTGAGAGTAATTATCACTGACCCTATTAATCACTTATGTAAATCTCAAGAGATTGTACATCTTATCTAAAATCTCTTTACTCACATTTTATGACTATAACCATCTGAAAACACTAATTACGTGCTTTATGTGTACTTTTATAATAACTTTATCTTGGTTATAAACTTTTAAGAACTGTTGCAAACTCAGCTGTGTATGACACCAGAGGGGTGTTTTGTGGAAGTATTTTTATTCACCCACAAATATATATATCTTTTATTTTATACAGTAAAAAAATGTTTGAGGCTGTAGAACTTTCAATTTTCAGTCAAAAATCCTTGATTTTCAAACGTTTATTGTTGTAATTTGTAATATAAAACATAATAGCACCATTAAATGAAAAAGAACTCATGTTCACTTGAGAAAATAATATCAGATCTATTGAAATCCAGGACACCTCATTGTAAAGAAAAAAAATTAAGCATAAAAAATTGGTGGTTGAATAAGTAAAATGTATGTCTGATAAATTTCTTTACTTAAAGGCATAGAGCTCCATGTACTGGATAACATTCTTTGTAATAAACCTGCTTAGACTACTGACAGTTGGTATTCAAAATATGAACATCAGTTGATTCATGGTATGCGTTTTGTTAATTTAAGCTGATTTTTTATTTTCCATTCTATAAAACCAAATCATGAGTGCTACATAGCTTCAACCATTATTTTTCTGTTTAAAAAAATATTTCATTTAAATATTATATGTAATGCTTGATATAAAGCTTTTCTCAACCCACCAAAGTCTAGCACACACACTCCTCTAAGAAAGCTGATCTTTTAAGTAAGGCTGCTTTTTTTTTTTTAAGGAAGTAACTCTTCATTTGAACTACCTCTCTCCTTCCTTCTTATTAGCTCGAGTTATTATGTGGCTATTATACATTATTGCTGTCAGTAACTGTAGACCTATAATGATGATGGACTTAGAGTATTTTTCTTGGCCCAACCCATTATTGAATAGTTTCATTTGGAATGCTTTCTTGTTGTGCTTTTTACTGCACAGCACTGAATCACATTTCTTGAGCTACATGAATGTTCTCCTTTTAAAAATTTTGGTCTTTAATGGACTAATTTTAGAAAAATGTTTATTTTTTATTTATTTAATAAAAGCATTAAAATACCTTTGTTATAACCACTAGTGCTTGAGTTATGATGCTTTATTTCAACTGATTGCCACCCAAGTTGTAATGTATGTCTTGTACAGTTTGTTATATGCAAAATGCATGAGAAAATTAATCTAAAAAAAATTGTATCTTACTTTCAAGCGTAAGCATGAATCTTTTCTCCAAGAAGTTTATTGCTAAATTTTTTGTTGCAAATTCAAAAGTAGATTCAAAAATTCACTATATTATTTGTATACCATTAAAGGATTTCAAATACTCTTCTTAAAATTAAGTCTACAACTGATCTCTGTATCAGCTGCTGATACTGATCTGATCTAAAGAATTCCTCAATGCTTTCTGATCTGATTTTTAAGAAGATCAGATTGGTAAGTTTGTTTATCTATGAAAATGTGCAATACATTCAGTCACCTTTGCAATGGAGAGCACAATGTATGCTGAAATGAGGCTAGTCATGGAGAAGCAAAAAGAAGTATCAGTGACCATCTGCTCAGGTCATGTCCTGATATATATTAACTGCTTCTTAATTTTTCTTACAACGATAAATGTATTTTCAACATAGTTTTATTTGCCATAAAATATCCTAGCATCTCTCAAAAAGTGCCTTTATTTCTGGTATTCATAATTATCACTAGATTCAACCTCCCCCTTCTTCTTTTTTTGTTGCAGAGAGGTTTGTTATAAGACTTACATCAATGAAGAAATACTAAGAGGACATAATTTATAACATTTTGCAGTTGACTTAAGGTCCTTGGGCCAACATTCCACATTCAACTAGCATTTATCAGTATGTCTTGTCTGCAGTGTTTTTGCTTATTAATCTAATAAAGAGGCCTATTATATGAATCCACGATTGTAGTCAGATAATGTGTGCATTGTTTTACTAGGTGTTGTGTAATATTAAAGCAGGGATATGTGGAAAATGTTTGGGCTTGTAGACTGTCCCAGAGATGAGCAGTTATGTACCAGTTCTTACCATATGTAGACAAGATGCTCTATGTCTTTAATTTTATGTTGAATGTTCATTTTTATTCATATATCATGCATGTTATGTGTGTCAAATTTAAAATAATCATTCATGTTTATTTATAAGTATACAAGTAAAATGCAAACGAGATGCTCCATCCATTGTTCCCGGTAAACGTTTTCCAAGCAGATGAAAGTGGAATGTATATAATTTCTTAGCCAAAGAAGTTGTATATAAGAAGCAAAACACAAAATAATTGTTACTCTTTCATTGGACATCTCACATCAACTTCTCCTGCATTTGATCTTCAAAAAGGTACAAGAATATTAAAAATTGTTAATTTCAAAAGGAAATAGGAATCTTTTAAAAAATACAGAAACAAGGTAGGTAGCTTAAAGTGAAAATGCAACTGCAAAAAAATTCAAAAAAGAAGCTTAAGGTTTCAGACATAGTGTTGAAATTATTTCCTCAAGCTAGAAATTCCTGTTTTGACTCTCCTAAATATTACAGCTTTTAGGCATGGAGTCAAAATAGATTTCTGTTGTGGGAGACATCCTATATATACTTTTATAATGTTTCAGACATTTATGTAACATGGCTGTAATCGATCATGCAGTGGTAAAAAGAAAACTGTGATCCTGTCAGCAGCATTGTGTCTGAAAGGGCAGAAACCCTATACATAAACAAGTGATATGTGACATCAATATAGTTGCAACAATAAGTTAATAATCGGTATGGTACATGCATCCTGCCTTCCATATAAACATTAAATTACATATACATATGCATGTAGTAAGTTATGAGGCTCCATATTTACCACAGACTACATTAAAATGATTGGGTGCCAATGGTTATACAACTGCTGTTATTTGCTAGGTAGTCAAATAAAGTTAGAAACTACCCTACACATTGTGCAATAATGGATTTAGTAATGTTGTACAGGTTTTATTACAGTACTCACAGCCATTTTTGCTGTAGGCTTGCAGAACAATATTAAATAATAATAATAAAGAAGAACAAATTGGTGATCTCTGTTATGAATCACTACCATGGTTCATGATACGATCACAATGGAAGATGCTGGAGAGCATGTGAGGGGTATGGAATAATCTCAGATGTGGGAACATTTCAGAGTTTTCGATGATGATGAGACGAGAGCTGTTTGCCTTCACCATAGCAAAAGGATTGTGCTTGGAAAAACTTATTGTAACTTTAATACCTTTAACTTGCATAAACACATGGGTGAATGTAGGGACCATCCTAGATCATCATGAGTTTCATTGTCATTATCTGCTACACTTCCAGGGGGCAGACTGGTATCCAGGCCACTGCTAACCAGTTTGATGCAAACTACTAGTATACATATATTAAGGACTTCCAAATACGTGCAACACACAAAATGCAGCTTTTAAAAATCTAATCCTGATATTGGCTGATATTGGAAGCGTCGGCACTGATCCGATATTTCAATCAGGTTGTAGGCTTAGTTAAAATAATATTTCTAGATATATGTTCTTCATTTACGATAATAGAGTTTGTGAGATTTAATTTCCAAGCTTAAACTAAGGTCACTCAGAAAAATACATTATTGTAATTATTGTTCCTGTACTTGCTTCAGGTGTATATTTTGAAAAACTACTGAAACAAAGCAATGTTCCTTTTTGGGTCAGAAACTTTGAAATGTATCTCTGGGGCCTCCTGTCATCTAGCATTGGGATTATCAGCTATGATTTGGGCAGCATTAAGCAAAATGGCTTTCTACATGGTTATACTTCAGCTGTCTGGTTTATTGTTGGTAAGATTTTACTTATTAAGAACATTTGTTTAAAAGTAAACTAGCTGTATAGATCAAAAGTAAAACTGTTTAAAAAAACATATGTTAATGAAATAATATGAGAGAGAGAGAGAGATATGTAAAAAAGATAGTGAGAAATAAATTTATTGTTATGATGTAATAATTTTAAAAATGTTAACTGTTTAACAATTTGTCCAGAAACAAATCCAGCAAATGTATCATAAGTATATCTGACAAAAACATAGTCCTATATTAACAGTACTTTTGATTCCAAAACACACTTATTTCCGCTGACACTATAGCTATTTCTTCTCGATCTCCATGGTTTCCACTCTTTGCCCATCTAAGCATTTAAAATGCTTGCTTCAGTCTAATTTGCAAAATTCTCCACCAACTTCAATGTACCCTCTATCTAGGTACTGTATATAAGCACCTCATTCAGATAATCTAATCTCTTTTCTTGACAAAGCAATCAGCACGGGTTTCTATAAACAGGAGTGTTGTGATTATTCACAATTTACTTTGAACGTGGTTGGCATTACTATGGTTATATCTTCATTTATGTTTATAAATTTATTTTACAAAGAAAATAAACAAAAACAACATACTGATGGGTATGAATTTACAAGTCAATGTTTCTACTACAGAGGCCAACCAGACCTCTTCTCTTCCACCTCTGCTATCTGGCCAGGAGAGGAGCACTCTCAGTCGAAGCTGTCCATGATATGATCTGTTGTGAAATGGACACATATATGCAGACTGAGGGTGTCTCTTGGTGGGGTTCTGAGGTGGCTTTTGCAAATGATCTGGGACCAACTGGAGAACTTAGACTCGTTTTTTCCAGCTCCTTCTTTTACTAGGTCGACTTCAACAGAGTTCATCTTGATCAGCCACCTCCAGTCCCTTTTCTTCAGTTAGTTACTCGGGTTTGTGAGGTTTTGGGGGTTTCTCCTATTACATTTGACTCTACTTCTTCCTTGTTGGCAGAAAGGATGGCAAGTAACTACTTAGTTTTTCATCCTTCTCCTGATATTGCTGTTCATGCTGTGAGAATTTCTGCTTACTTACGTGATGGGATAGCTATGCCTTTTCCCCCAGTATACATTGGCTTATCACTGCCAGGAGGAGGTATATTTAGATTCTCAATAGATGGACCCCCTTTTGGACCTGTGAGGGTCTAGATTGGAACCTATGATCACTTTAAAGAGATCACAGTTTCCTCGGATCTGTCTTATTCTCACAAATGTGCTGAGGTATTTATCTTCGATCCAACTTTTCTCAGAAGCCTATCAAGTTCCCCTCAGCAATTTGAGGACGAGTTGGGGATTTTGCTGACATCTACCTCAGTCAGATTGTTTTCTTCTGTTCTTTCTCTGATTTCCTGGCTGGTTTGTTGTGGTATTTATTGGGTAGAGATCCTTTGTTAGAAAGTGTTTGTTTACCATGTTCTGCTCTCAGGGAGTTACAAGAAACTCCATATCTCCATCTCATATTGTTTGCTGGAGTTCCAGAGATATTAGAATCACGTATTGATTCAGCTCATTTACATTCTTTTTTATTGCCATTGGCTTCTCGCCTTTCTGGCACTAATTTGGGAGTGTTGGCTCATATTGTTCCTTGACCCACTCCTTCAATTCCGAAGTCTATTGGTTCCCATAATAGAGTCCATCCATGTTATTGAGTATCTTCAGCTTGGACCATGGGTGGGGGAGCAGTGGGAGCATGATTACATCACTTTCTGGACAACTGGAGTTCTTTCACCAGGGATCCATGGGTACTCCATGTTCTGGCTTCAGGGTTGGTCATTCAATTTACATCACCTCCACAATTATCTGCACAACCTGTTGCCTTTTCACCTTCAACAGATCTATGGCGAGTGGAGCTTCATTCCCAGGCCATAAGAGAGTTATTAGTCAAAAGGGCAGCAGAGAGGGTTTATCCTGTTCTTCTGGGATTTTATTCCCATTTATTCATTGTACCCAAGAAAACAGGAGATTGACGTCCAATCATCAATCTGTCTCAACTCAACCAATTTTTAGATCCTCCTCGCTTTACTATGGAATCTTTTCTTAACATATGATGGCACTTTGTGCCAGGGCTCTGGATGACCAAGATCGATGTTACCGATGCTTATCTCCATATTCTCATAGTGGAATCTTCCCAGAGGTTTCTCAGATTTGTGCACAAGGGTCAGGTGCTGCAGTTCAGGGCTCTACCTCTTTGTCTTGCATCAGCACTTTATGTCTTCTGCAGAGTTGTTTGTGATTTTTCTTGGGTCTGTGCACATATCATTATATGGTGACTAGCTCCATCTGGCACCATCCCGTCAATTAGCAGAACAACACTCTCAGATTCTCCTTTCAGAAGCCACATCTGGGTGTGTTTTTCAATACTCACTTAAGTTGTGCTCAACCAACTCCTATCAGGCTTCAAGCCAAGGAAAGAGTCAACAGACTTTTACTTATGTCTCCTTCTCCTACTGCCCAGATGGTTCTCTCTCTTTTTGGGAATGTGGGCATCCCTCGAGCCTCTCATTCCTTTGGGATAAGCACATATGAGGTCCCTTTAGTGGGCACTGCACGACCAATGGATCATGCATTCTGGTCCTTTGGATCATCCTGTCTCATTACTCAGGAGCAACATTGTCAATTGCAAATGGTGGTTGGATCGGAACAACACTACTATTGGGGTACCCATTCCACCACCTTATTCCAGAATCCATCTGTTCACAGATGCATCTCTTCAGGGATGGGGAGTTTTTCTTCAAGGTCAGAAGTTCCAAGGTACTTGGACAGAAGATGAATCTATCTTCCATATCAATGTTCTTGAACTCATTACAGTACACATGAGCAATGGTTCAAGGTCTGCCTCTCTTGAAGAGAAAAATTTCACAGTGGTATTTTTGTCAAGGAAGCATACATTGTTGAGACTTTTGTTTTCGTACCTTGGATCTTCTCTACTGGGCTCATTCCCATCGTATCAGTCTTTTAGCTTGTCATATTCCAAGTGTGCTTAATTTAATTGCAGATAACTTGTCTCGACCCAACCCGGATTCTTCCGATAGAATGGATGCTACATCATGAGGTTTTTGGGTAGACTTGCTCTCAGTTCGGGTATCTAGCGATCAATGCCTTTGCGACACATTGAAGTTCTCAACTGCAGTTGTTTTGGTCTTTGATACTTCATCCTCAAGTGTTGGCAGTAGATGCATTCAGTCTGGACAGGACTGAACAGGTTTACATCTGTATGCCTTTCCCTCAATTTGGCTATTGATCCGGGTTCTGACTATGGTTTGTTCTACTTCCTGTTGCACCATATTGGCCAGCTCAAACATGATTTCTGCTTCTTCGGTATTTGCAGGAATGTTCACCTCTACCTCTTCCACATTGGCAGTCTCTGTTGAGACAACCTTGATCACACATTCTCCACCCAGATGTTCAGAAACTGAATATTCGTGCTTGGAAGTTATGTGGTCCTTTGCCCAACATAAGGGTTTAACTTCTATAGTTTCTCTGTATTTAACTAAATCTCTCCATAGGCCAACCATGGCTGTTTATCAACAGAAGTGGAATACTTATCATCAGTGGTGTATTAAAAGGAATTTAAACCCTCTTCATCCTAAAGTATCTACCATATCCTGTTTTTTTATTTGGGTATTTAAAAGGGGTCTTGCTTTGTCTGCAGTGGCTTTATATAAAACATCCTTATCTACTATTTTTCGGTATTCCAAATATTGGAAGGTTTTTGAATCCTCAGTACTATCAGGTCTACTCAAATACTTTCGTATTCTTCGATCAAAATGCCCTTTTCAATTACCAGATTGGGATTTTACAGTTATTTTATATGCATTGTCTCATCCTCCCTTTGAGCCCTTAGCTTCATGTTCTTTGTTTCATCTTTCTATTAAATTGTATTTTTTGCTGTTGTTGACCTGTGGACATTGTTGGTCAGAGTTGTTTGCAATTCATGTGCATCAGATTTTTTATCATTCCACATTTGTCCTGCTTTACCCCAATAGGTATTTTCTTCCCAAGACTCTGGCAGCTAAGGAAGGGGAAAGATATTTCTCATCAATTCATTTGTCAGCCATTTCTCACCTTTATGACTGCTCTGATCCTGATCGTTTGTTATGTCCTGTTAGGGCCCTCAAGTGTTATGTGGTTCATACTAACTCATTTCAAGGTAGTAGGAATTGATTGTTCATTCATTGGAATCTTTCTATTTCCCGTGACTTATCTCCCATTATCCTAACGAGATGGCTTTGTAAATTGATTCACATGGCCTATAATGGATCATTGGTACAGGAGAGGAATCTTTTGCGTGTCACATCTCACCAGATTCGTCATATCTCTTTGTCATTAGCTGCCCAGTTAAATTGCCCTCTGGAAGACATTGTGCAGGCTGGAATGTGGACTATTCCTTATACTTTCCTATCTCATTACTTACATGATTTAGCAGTTTCCTCTTCTGAGGGTTTTCAACTACCTCCTGTAGATATTTTGACTACATCTGTTAGATTTTAACCAGAGGTGGGTATTTTCTTCAATCATATACTCTCTTATTTCCAGGAAGGTATGCTTTCTCTTTTCAATTCTGTACTAGCAACCACTTTCACTATAATTACTACAGGTTGCAATAGGGTTTATCGAAATGGGGTGTTCCATAAGACCATCTAGGTGCCTATTGGATGGTATTACCTTATTATTATGGACCACCACTCATGGACTATCATGAGTAAAGCTAAAGGGGATCCTGCTCGTCCCTGCTGATCTTCAGGTTGAATAAATGGGGGTTGGTTTGCTTTTGAAAATGTAGGGAACTTGGTTCACCTATTGCACAGTTTCCAGAGCACTGTTCCTCAAGGCTCCCCAATGCATATTACCCCCACCCCCAGACTCTACTAGTGGAGAATGAGAGTCCTTACCACCTCAGTTTCCAGTTGCTGGGGTGGCAGTCAGAGGCTTTTCCTTCAGAGTATTCAAGTGTGTTCCTCCACTCTTGGAGAAGAGGGCAAAGTTGGGGGGGTCCTCCTACTTGGGTCCCTAGATGTTTTTCCCAGATGTCAGTAGGACTGGCACCAACCTCTGCAGCAGCCTACTCGTAATTCTGGTTCAGATTTAACACAAAGCTATCCAGTTGGAGGGTGAATGGTCCTTCTCTTTGATCAATGTTCTTGATCTAGTTCCTTGGTTGAGCACAGGTTCAACTTCCTCTCCATAATTTCAGGGGCAAGCTGAATACTTCTTGCCTACTTAGTTGGGGAGTGACGATAAATGTTCATAATTCCAGACTGGATGAGTTCTGTTCCTTTGGTTGAGTAATGCATACACGATCCCGTCATTCCAAGCCTGGGCTATTGCCTTTTGGACTTCTTCAGCTATTGTACCATCTTTATCTTGGTACACTTTTGTTCTGTACAGACGCTTTCTGTATGACTCATGCCTGCACTGGCCTCTCCACCTTCTCAATGTAGGATTCTAACCATAGTGTCAGTAGAGGTAAGTATGTTTTGGAAGTTAATATTTTCCTAAACTGAAAATGTATTTCCAATAATACTTTCCTCTGCTGACACTCTTACACCCTACCTCCCCACTAAAAGCTAGTTTATGTCTTGAAAAAGTGATTACATTATCTGAATGGGGTGCTTATATACAGTACCTAGATAGAGGATGCATTTAAGTTGGTGGAGAATTTTGCAAATTAGAATTTGCCAAGGGTATTCGAGTGGGGTATAAAAGACTGGAGCAAGCATTTTAAATGCTTAGATGGGCAAAGAGTGGAAACCCTGGAAATCAAGAAATAGCTATAGTGTTAGTGAAGGTAAGTATATTTGGAAATGCATTTTCAGTTTAAGAAAATGTTAACTTTTATAATAAAGTTTGTTCATAGAAATATTAGCTATTTCTTTAATCTGATCATAGAACTCATCATCAAAATGAAATGCAAGGATTTTTATCTTTCATTAGGCAAGAAAAGCTAAATCAATGTACTCATTGGTTGGTACTTGTGTAAATAATGATACAAGAAACTTTGAAAATAAAGTGTACTCACTAAACTACAGTTCTGAATTTTTTTTAACATCTTCCTGTAAACATCCAAGCTAAAAATTTACCCAAGTTATAAGTAAAAGCCCAAAGCCCCTCTGGTTGAGACAATAGTTTCAAGAGGTATGCTTTATGTATCTTTGGCACACCATTTAAGGTGTTTTAGTGTCACTAGATTTCAAAGAATTGTAAAGAGAATCATTTAATAGGTTTTTATTCTTTAAACTCTAATAGATTCTATCCTTTTGCTACTGTTGTTAGCCAAATGTTTATAATGTTCTTGATCAATCAATAATTCATTCATCTTACAATAATAATCAAAATAATTATAGGTTTTAACAAAAAAACATTTGTTGTACTTTTCACATTTTATCAATGTACTTGAATCCTAATGTACTTGTATCCTTTAGATTTACTTACTGAAGATAGGATAAAACCTTTCTGAAATGTACTATAAGTATGTGTTTTTTTATCTGGATGATGCCTTTGTTTCTCATTAAGGTTTCTGCCTCTTGAATCAGGACATTGTATATTTGCTATGTTAATGTTGTGTGCTTATTTCTAAAGATCATGACTGGTTAATATGACATTAGTTTTCATTTCTGTATTAATTATTAGTATTTGACTTATAAGTCGTCTAATAGGGTTAAAAGAAAGTAGATAAATATATTACTAGTGTGCATAGAAAATGTGTTCAATGCGTAATAAATGTATGATTATGAGTGAAGTGTTGTCATATATGATTTATAATTGAAAGTTGAAATATAGAAGGTAGACAAAAATTTGATCCCATGAGGAAGTTACTTTTTTATATGATATATAAAGAGAAATTGATCCATTTTTTTCTTTTGTCATGATATACAATTAATTTGGAAAATGTGGTGATCAACTGTAGCTAACTTTCTGTTTACATTTCTAAGGTATGTCTGGTGCAGGTGGACTGTATGCCTCATTGGTCATCAAATACTTGGATAACATCCTCAAAAACTTCTCATCTTGCTCAGCAATAGTTCTGACCACTATTGGTTCTAACATTGTTTTTAACACAGATACTGGAGGTTTTTTTGTTATTGGTAGTATTCTTGTTTGTTTTTCGGTATTCTTGTACAGCATGGAAATTTCCACATGATGATTCCATTTTGTGGAAGCAATATTTTGTTTTATTACCATATACATCTTTTAGAGTAACATCTATAACTCACATGAATGTAACTCTTAAAAACTACTTTTAAAAATTTGGTTCAGGAGGAAATCTGTAATACTTCTTGCTTTAGAACATTCACAGTATGCTACAAATCGGAGAACTCATGGTTCATGTCATGGTGTAAGTTTTGAATACACTGCAAGGGCATTATAACCATGCTATTCAGTTAAGTGTATGCAGTGGGTTCTGTTGATTGTTGCATTTCTTCTGGTCAGTAGTTCTAAGTTAAGGATGGCTCTGCCTGAACCAGTTAGACTGTGTGACGCATAAGTATGGTACTGACGTTAGAAACAACAAATACTATAATGATCATTGAAACAATTATCATATTTTATTAGTTAATTTTCATAGATTTTTTAATTTGTTTATACTCTATATTTTTTAAGAAACAAAGGCATATTGACATAGTCTAAGGTCAGTTGTACATACATAAATTTAATGGAAATTTAATGATGAATGCATGCAACAGATAGTATTTTAAAGCTTTGGATGTGGGGAGTTTAATATGCTTTATTGCCATTTAATTTGGACAAGGCCAAGGTCAAATGTGAAGGCTAAACGTTAAGCATTATAAAAATAACATGAAATATAGTTTCAAAACTTTTATTATGGTGTCATTCTAGTCAAATCATGTATTTGACCAAATATTAACAACAACAAGATAACTTGACATACTTAAAAATATAACTTGACACTTTTACAGAAATCTAAGTGATGCAGAACAACATAATCAATGAAACAAAGCACAGTTACATATCTTCAGAGCTATTATCATTGTTATCTTCAACCTCTATTGGAAGATTCATCATCACATTTTCACAATTTTCATAATCTGTTCCACTCACATTTACATATTTTTGTGCAATAAAAGCTTGCTAGTTTGCCCTAGCAACATGATGATGAGCAAGAACTTCTACTATTTAATAAGCTGAATCATTCTCTCTAGAGCTGCAGGTATGTACATTGCCATAAGAACAATGACACTATCTTCTAGTTGTCATCCATGGTCACAAAGATCTGGAATGCTGGATTTACCAACATCATCCTGTTCCCTCGCCATCACCATATAGTTGACTCTTTTGATCATCTTACTTAGCACTAACCTGGTTGGAGGGAGATGCTCTTACTCAGCTTGTTTCTAGTGAACATCTTCCACCTCAACTCAGACACTTTGATGTGTGGTGTTGTTGGTTCTTACAGCTCTTTCATGAATTTTTTATTGTTTGTGATGCTGCCTCCAGAACTTTAACATATTTACTCAGTAAAGGCTTCAATAACTCCTTCCAAAAAGTTAGTTTTCCTTCACCTGCAATTGACATTGCATCCTCAAAATGCATGAAACCCTGGGAGAGCCGATACTTTCTTACTTTCTAGGGCATCATAGGCTTCAATGGAATTATATGCCTTAGTCTGCTAGTTCCTGATACTATAAATATATCTTCACACAATTTTGGATAGCAGTGAAGTGCCAGTATCAATACATCAGTATCAGATGCATGTATCTCCAGTTTGTCAGTTCCCTTTTCTGTAGAATCCACAGCATAAAGTTTCAGTCCTGTGTTGGCTTCTTTTGTGCTTCTTAGGTGTTTGACATTTAGGTGATTTGACATAGCTTCTTCCCTGAAAGTCACAACAACATCTTTCATTGACTTTTCAAAATGAAGGATACATTTTGCAGCCAAGTATAATGTGAGTCTATCTTTTTTTAATGTATGAGACAAAAATCTCTGTGCTGAAACATGTTAAGCTTTAGTAGTGCCATCCACAATGTAATCTACTGGTTCATGATTCCCTGTTATTATTTTCCTGGTCATACTCTTGAGAGACTTGTCTACATTGTAGTGATCAAATATAATATGAAATTCATGAAAACCTTCCATTTAACTTTCCAATCTTGACAGGAAGTAATCAGCAGCTCAGTAAATTTTTTTTTTACTGTATTTGGCTTCCCATTTCTTGTACAAGTGACATGGCATCAACAAGCATGGCTTTTCTCTCCTGTGATTGCTGCATGTGACTGTCTTTCTGTGTGTCATCAGTCTGGGAGACCAAGGCTTTCAATTCATGACATAATTTACTCTTGTTTAGGCAGGGCAAAAGATTACTATCAACAGCAAACATAGAACGTGAATGCAAGGCAAATTCATAGGTCCCAGTAGATTCCTTCAACTCAGTATCCGGACAAGATCTCATGGCAAGTAAGAATCTATGAAATAGTGCACTATCCTCTTTCAGACTTATGACTTATTTTTTTAACTAGTGTCTTAGCACCTTTCCATACCTTCAGGTTTATTTTCTTCATAGGAGACCAAAAACCCATATGAATTGATGTAATTCATTTAGAAACAAACATCAGGTATTGTTCTTCATTTGTCCTGAGAAGATCCACAGTAACATCATCTGGCATCAATGTTTTCATGATGATATTCATCACAGGCTTGTTCCCCTAAAACGGATTAGTGTGATGCGAGATCAAATTTTTCAGTTTTATAACTAGCCTTTTGACTTTTCAGTATAGATGCTGACATTTCATGATGTGTATTTTTTTCTCTTGCACAGGAGTTCCATCAAGTTCATGCACTTCTTCTGAAAGATAAGCCTATTCTGAAGCAGTAAGGAAAAACCTTCTACAGGTTTTAGGATTCAATGTAATGTCAGAGAGGCTAAGTGTTTAATTCCATGATCTGCTACTATAGCACAGAATTCAGTGTTTAATTTGCTAACAACAAATTTCCCCTCTTTAAATTCCTGGATAATGAGAGAATCGGTCCTCTCCAGGCTCCTCGTTTCTGCAACATAAAAAGGAATCATCTGTGAATAGTGGAGCTTGTCATGGGCAAAAAAATATTTGTACATATCTTCCAAACTTGTGAGGTGAAGTTCCCATGAAGTATCCCTTGTGGCTTTAATAAACAGTAGCAGATACAAGACCATCATATATGAGATATGTCCTGTGCAGTGGGTGTTTTTCATCTCCATGTAACTTTTCCAACAATTTTCTGACTTTATTTTCAGACACAAATAATCACATTATTTTCTCAAACTCACTAAATCATCACTTTTCATTGCATCAATGACTGTTTTCACAAATTCTTCGAATGTGTCTGGTGAACTTGTTGTAAGATTATCAACTATGATGTCAAATAGTGCATGAAAAGTGATCATATGGGTGACCACCCTCTTTTTCATGTGTCTGCCTTTCAGTATTTGCCTTGTTGTTGTATGCCCATAGATGTCCACTTCAATCCAGACATTATCAATACCACTTGAGTCATTGAAGCATCCAATGCACCTAAGCATTGCCATAACTGTGTGCAGTTCTCCAGTTCTAAGGATCCAATTGTTTTTGCAGTCATCTCTCATCATTTCAAACTGCTTTGCCTTTTCATACAGCTGCATATTTAAGGTAATAACAGTCTTCCTTCCAGGGTCAAGGGCAACAGTATTAATATGCTTTGTTTGTTTAAGTGCAGTAAGAAGGGTGCTCCAGTCACATGCAGAGGCAGCAATGAGAGGAGTGCTCCTACAAGTAAGACAGGTTTTGCAATAGATATCATAGCATTATAAGGGTGTGTTCTTCAGCCATGCAGCACTCTCTGTACCTAGCTATTAACCAGGTATTTGGAGAACTGTGAAAAATTTATTGGTATCAATCCCCTGTGTTTTGTAAACAATTTACTTTAAAGAGTGTTAATTTTGTGTCTGGTTGTTTCGAACTCTGCCTAAAGATTTATCTTACACTGTGATGTCTGGTTGAATAGGACTATGAATGGGCTTTATATTTTGTCATTTTTTCTGAAAAACAGCTAGAGATGTAGCATTCACTGTGCCCTTGCCATCAGGAGTATCCTCATCAGAATTGTCAATTGTCATCTTTGACAAGAAATGGTAGCAGGTATCCTTCATGTACTAACATATTTTCAAGAACTGAACAGGCCAACTATGTTTCTAGTCTCAATATTCTCTGTAGTTTACAGACAGAAAATCTAAGAAGCAAATCTATTATCTTTTTGCTTCTAGTCATTTGATGAATTGCAACTCCAACAGCAAGCTGATTGGATAATTCAGGTTTATGAAAAAATCTAGACGCAATATACTTTAATTGGTATTTTACTTGATGGTCCATTTTTGAGGCAAAACTTAATGTTTAAACAATATTCATTGTGTACTGGTTCACAGCTCCCATCTAGAATTTTTACTTAAGGTCCTTGAAAAATCCACCTGAGAAGCATGTACAACCTCATTGGAATGTATTCTGAAACATCACTATTTTGGAATGACATCTCAAATGTTTCTATGGCTTGCACTTTGATAGATCTGTTCTTATGAGGCTTGCACTTTGATAGATCTGTTCTTATGAGGCTTGCACATTGAAATAAATACTTAATGTCTTCTTTGATGGAGTTTCTTGCTGCTTCCTGCACAACATCCTCTCTAGTGCCTTTTGAAAAGACCAGCTTTGGCTGATTTTGCTGCTTTAGTGGAGAAAATTCTTAGTTTGGAATATTTTCCATTAACTTCTGTTTTAGTTCCTTCGTTTCAAATGAAGGATTTATTACTCCATTATTTTTTTAAATTCTCAAGTATGTATCTTGTAATGCAGCTATTGACAATATAGAACTACCTTGAAGCAAGTTTTCCACTAGTGTGAGCAGTTATATATTTGAGCCAATTTGCTGTGTGTATGCATCTAAATGGACATTTTCAGTGATGTTTAGTGTGTTTCTTGTGCTTATATATGGTGATGGGAACTCCTTCAGTCCAAGCACATGAACTACATGTATGTCCTAACAACATTTGTGATATTTACCATCTATTGCATCTGAGATTAAGTGCACCTGCAAGTATTATTCTAAGAATTTCATTATCAGATATTGTTCCTTAAACTTGAGACCTGCATTATAAGTTTTAAAAGTTAAGATATCATGGAGACTGCTTAGGTCATCATTTTGACAAAAGAATCACAAATTCTTCTTAAATGAAGTATATTTTGATCAAAGTGTTTCTTCTGTTGATTACACCAGAAAAGGGCTGGCTGAATGATAGCATTTCCTCTTTTGTTGGCTGCAACAAGCTTATGTTCTGGTTCTGAAGAGTATCACTGTATCTTTTCCTTGTTCTGTTCAAATGTCCTAAGTGAAATGTCTTCTGGTAGCATGGTCTGTGGTATTTTGCATTCTTCTCTACAAGTTATGATTCTGTAAAGTACAATTGCATGTGTTAATTTATTGCCACATAATCCTTTTTACATGAACTAACTCTGTCTGGGACTTTCAGGGTTTTATGTGTATGTGGGCTAAGGATTCTTCTACAATGGGTATCTGTGACTTGTTTTCAAATAATATATTCAAAACAAGTCAAACTATGTACAAAATTCTTTACACTATAGGATATCACAGTTTTATCTAAAACTAAATAATTTTCTTTTCTTTTCAAAAGTCTACTTATGCAGATTCAATTACTTTAGACTCCAATTGACAAGACAAACTATTTTTCTCAGCTCTCATCACAGTAGTATCTGAATAATTCACTTACACTACCATGTGGGTTACCACAGTTTTATCCTGAACTTCAAATAATTGTCTCCTTTTTGTCAGAGTCCACACACATGGGTTCAATTACTTTAGAACACCCTTTGACAAGACAAGATATTATCCTTATCTCTATTATACTGTGAAAATCACTTTAAAATATTGCCCATTATGGCTAATCACTCACACACAGATTAACTTCACGATAACTTTTTTTTCTGAGTGAACTGAACTTTTTTTCGTTACTTTACTTCACATGACTTGCACTCGCTTAACTGCCTATATTTATATGTTGTTCACTGAAGCCTCGAACTTTCTGTAAATTATGTGAACAGTGTTGATTTAACAATACTCAATTAAGATAATGGAAAAAATAGCGAAGGTTCGAGTAATGTAATGTTAAGAATATTAGTAAAGCCTCCACAACAATGTAATTGCAATCACAGTGTACGAATCTTACCAAGTTACATAACCAAACTTGTCACAAGTATCACCTTTAAAATGATTAACTTTTAACTCTCTTGTTATGAAAAACAAAACAATCATTAAATATTAACTCACAAAATAAATTAAATGATAATGCCTACACTAAACAGTCTTGTATATCCAACAGTGACACAAGTAATAATTCTTTTTTATGAATCTTCAGACTTTGGCAAAATAATATATTGTATCTCCTTCAGGCAGATGAAACACTATGCAAATTTCCCTCTGAACACTCATTTGCATTACTAAGTCCTGGTTTTACCATTGGCAACACTGAATCATTATTGAGACAACCTATCTGCAAAGAAAATAAAAAGCAATATGCGAGTAATAAGGAAATGTCCATTAACTCACAACACCAGCATAGTCAGGTAGTATACATTTGTCAGATAGTGCAAAGGTGCTATGCTGTGCAGTGAAAGTATAAGGTCATACTTTATAACTATGATTTTTAAAATCTATTTAACTAAATATTCTAAAACAATAATAGGCAATTGGTAAATTATCACAATATAAAAGGAAATATATGCTCATATCTAACAAGTTTAAAACCTCTCTTTTTTTAGTGATTTCTTGATTTTGTTTAAAAGTATCATTAATTTTTATACATGTGTTTATAGTATGTTTGATACATTATATGAAATATTTGTTATGGCAAGACTTCTGATATCCAAGAAAATCCTCACTGCTGCTTCTAGGCTGCAACTACACCTTTGTTGATGCTGTTCTTGAAAGTCCCTCTATGCATTGTCATGCTTCAACCAAACATGGTGGCTTACCTGCAATACTTTTGTGGACTTTGTCACCTTCCATGTAATGATTCATTTAATTTTTTTTTCTGTGATGAAAGGTTCGCAAATATAGCAGCCATTAGTTGTGAAATAGCACTCTATTATTCAGGATGTTTTAATTTGTAAATGTCACCCTGGGCATTTTCTACCATTTATTAATAACCATAATCTTCTGGACTTTTATGTTTAGTTGTGACCTTGAACTTGGTGAAGTTTTATTTTCTAAACATACAGAATGCATGATTCACCAGCCATAATTTATTATAGATAGGAGAGTGATGTAAATATAAGACAAATTGTAAGAAAAAGAAGACTGTTTATACAATCACAACTTTGATCTTGAACACTGTTTTCCTAACTGCTGTTGGTACAAGCTTTAAAATGATGTATGTTGTCAAATTTCATGATTAAATTCTTATGGAATTACAACTGACCTCAGACTAACAGGCATTTCTGGGACATTTATGTATTATTTCATTCTTAGGTTACAGAAACCTAGTTACATGGTTTTATTATTCAAGTTGTGTATGAATAAAAATTGAAATTAATGTAATTGATCCAAAAAATACTGTGCAAATGTATTTCTTCATAAACTACATCATGATATTTTCCTTTTTTTAGCATTGTTAGTTACATATAATATATACAAACCAAGTTAATGTTACTATGTTAGTTATCCAGGATTTAAACTGATATATAAAGCAAGAATATGATTTTTCTTTGCATTTTATTAGTTTGCATTGTAAATATTTTTTAATTTTTTTAATTTTATTTTTTACATATTTACAAAATGAGAATACAATTGTTTTTTATAAACTGAACTTGAAGTTGCTGTGTATGTAATAGTAGTGTAATGAACATCTAAGGCAATGCTGAAATGAATTTGGTTTCCTAGTTAATTCAGAAAAGAAACATCTTTCTGTGATCAAACTTTTATTTTTATGCATGGTATAATAATTGCAATGATATGTTCTTATGTGCCACCATTTTATGAACTATATCCCAAAACTTCCACCTAGTCATCAGTCACCAAGAAGTGCTTGTGTTTTAAGTTTCATTAACCAAAGAATTGTAAGATGTGAGGTCATATAAACTTTTATTTATCTATATGTCACAAAACACTTAACAAACAGTTATTTCTTATTCAAGTTTCATTACATCTTTTGCCTGAGTGAGATTACCTCTCCATCGCCCGTCTCACTCTTTGTTCCTTATCTTCCTTTTTTGCTTTTCTGTTTTATTATTTTCTCACTAGATCTCCCCCATATTCCATTCATCACTAATCATCCAGTTATTGTGATCTCTTCTGTTTGCATGAAGGTCATTGATTCTTTTCTCTTCTCTTGATGTCATCCTAAAGTTCACTGACTGGTCATTCAGTAGTGTGCTTAACTTTACCTTTCCTAAAACTTTAATACAGTGAATACCCCTATAACTTTACAAGGTCACAACTCTACATTCTTAAAGCTTTCACAAACTATAGAATCTCACAAATATAAAGAAAATGTTCAAACATATGCTGATTATGCTAATATGATTCCTCAATATTTATCACTTGTAAATGAATGTTCATTACAATAAGATGAGATATCTGAGAGAAAAATCGTAAAACCCACAATGTGCATTTCATCTCATTAATTATTCTTTGTGCTGAAATGATAGAAAGTGAAAAGATGTGTAAAAAAGTCTGTGTTTATTATTTTATTAATCCCTTTGAAAGAAAATATGAAAAAATTATTTTTTTCAATAAACTGTCATTATTGTAAGTTATTGTATGCATCATATCGGAGGGTGAGAAAAAATTTACAAAGTCCTCTAATATTAAGGTTAGTTTGATTCAAAATTTTTATAGGGATTTTATCAGCATAGTATTGTTATACCAAACTTTTTTTGTATAGAACACTTTCAATCTTGCAGTTATCATTGTTAGTCTAAAAAAACTTAAAAACAGTTCCATTAAAGTGTGAAAAATAAAAGGAACAATTTTTTGCTTGTATGTTAATATTTGTATGACATAGCTGAAGAATCTCAGTCTTTGATAAATAAAAAACATTTTTGCAAAATACTGAATGGTTGTACTTGCTTATACAGCATTTTGTAATTTTAAATGTGTAATTTCCTTTACATTTCTTAATTCCATTTTAATCTGTTTGCTCCTAACAGCAAGCAGTTATAGTTATAGTTAAAATGAGTTGTTAAAGTACATTACCAGAATGTGTGCTAGTGCTGTGTCTAAAATATTTTAACGGTGTACCATGTGTTTTTCTTCGTGTTCTAGTTATGAAAACTAGAGGGCACATTTTTAAAAAAGTTATTGAGCTTAAATTTGGCTCTGTTATGGTCAGAAGAATAAAGGGGTTAATTGCAACTGCCAATGTTTTGACTCCAAGAGGTATCTGAAGGTATCCACAATATAGTAGATTCAGGAAATATTCCAAGGACAATAACTTTAAATGTGGACAGCAAAAGATCACAAGTGAAACAAAAATACTTTATTAACACACAAAAGCAAAGGGGATGAGTGAACAGGAGAGCCAAAAACAAGAAGAGCAAAATGTGTGGACATTCCACTTTCATAGTCAGACCCACTCTCTGGATATTCAAAGGAAAAAACCCCACCTCATTTGTGCAAGTATCTTTGTCAGGCCTAGGGATAGGATTTACTCACCCCAGGGAGTAGTCACATGGTGAAACTGTTATAAACTATTCATAAGATAGTCTTCTTCCATAGGTAAGGATTAGTACATGATTACAAATTTTAGATATCCAGTTTACAAGGAGGACATAACTACATGTGATACAAAAATCTTATCTTACTACAGATATATTCTAATTCAGTCATTAATGTTTTATGTTCAGGTTTGGAAAGTTCCTAAGATAAGAAAGGGGTATGAGTTGTCACTCTTAATTTCAGTCTTCCATAAGTAGTTTAGAATATATTTGTAGTAAGGTATACTTTTTAGGTGACACACACAAAAAAACATGACATCTATACAAAGACGGCAAAGGATTACACAAATGCTTCAACAGCCAGTTAAAGAAGAATAACTAAACAAGGTACAACTCAGATATAAAGTCACCATTAACTGAAATTACAACTGACAATACAGAATTACATTTTAAAATACACAAAACTAGATAAACTATCATAAAATTATAATGTTGACAGTTACTACACTTGCATTACAAAATTAATAATGTACAAAAAATTTAAACATTACAAATCAAAGATTTGGAAATTCAAATACACTCAAAACACAAAATTATACTAACACAGTTGAAATCAAAATCTACAGTTGGTGTAGGTTTTTGAAATTTCCTTTTTGACTTTGTGGTTACTTTCAAGGTCCTTATCTAAATTGTAACTGGGTTGATATAACCTATTTGGCTGTGGTAGTAACACATAACACCATTAACAGTTTATAAGGAAGACACTTGAATGATGCATTGTTGGTAATCACCTTGATGTTTTACATCCACAAAAGGTTGTTGGAACTGTGGAAAGCACGGACATTTGAGGAACCAGAGTAGGAGGAATATTACCAACAAGTCGGCCTCAAGGAGACCAGTAGTGGTTGGTGTCGAGCGACGCCCACCAATCCCCATCATGAAAGTCCCAACACCTAGGTGTAAAATGCCAAGCACACACAGTGTCTATGTGACAGGAAAGCTAGATGGCCAAAGGTGCAACTTTGTCATAGACTCTGCGTCTCAGCAAACCCTTAGTGAGCATCAAGGTGCTGGATAACAAAGGAGTACCAGAAGCTATAGAGAAGCTTAGTAGTGTTACAGGACATTCTGCAAGGTTGTGGGGACCAGTGTGGGTGACTGTTGAGCTCATGGGCATAAAGGACAGACAAGAAAGTATACTTGGCTGACATGGAAGACGAAT